CTCCACGTCCCCCTGTACCACATCATTCTCTCGCCCATGCCGCGCCCTATTAAGCCTCCGATACCTGGTCGAACAAGATGATGATTGAGCGTGCGGTGGCTAATGCAGATTACATGACCCAGCCAATGCAGGTTGGATGGTAGGCAGGCAAGCCTGAATGTGCCTAATCTCGCAGATGTTCCTTTAAAGGGCTCCACGTTGCGCAAGAGTAGAGAAGGGCGGGGCATAACACGCACGCAATGACAAAGATCTCCCTATAGCCTTCATAATGTTGGGCAAGTGTTGTTAGCGAGCACCTATGAAGGCCGGCACGGTACAAGAGGAGGTGGGTGGCCAGCACCGCGCCTGGCCGCCTTTGCCTTTTTAGTGGCGATGTTTACACATCGCACCAGGTGCTCATTTGAGGCTGAGTCAACCCAGGGGAGGCCCAGGACTGGGTCAGATTATAATCGTCACTGGTGGTGGCCTTGAACGGGAATGGAACTCGGGTCTCCGGGTTGGTAGCGCAGCGCTTTAACCGCTGCACTACCACTATCCACTAAACACACGCGCACACAATAAACTCGCCCACAACATTCGCAACGTCAACACGCACACACTCCGCCCACGGCACTCAGCGAGAGAGACCAAGGTGCCACCGTGGGGGCCGGGTTGTTTGGCGAGACAGCCACCGGGTCCCATGGGATCGGGTCCCCTTGAACCCCCCAGGCCAGACCCCGAGTTCTCGTCTCGCCCGCCTCTTGTTGATGGAAAGTGCGCAGTGTGGACCCTGATGGCAGGGTACCCCGGGGCCCACGGGGCTCTAAATATAGAGAGGGCAGGTGAGGATTCCCGGCGCACCTGTCCGTGTGGGGGTCGCGGCGGGGGGTGTTGTTGTGACGAGGTGAGGGGGGTAGGGGCAGGAGTCAGGGACAGGTCACGGTCTGGCGTGTAGCGGTAGTGTAGTGGTTAGCGCGCTGCGCTACGAACTTGGCGACCCGAGTCCCATACCCGCTCGTGGCCAACACCAGTGACGATTATCTGAAACTGCTCCTGGGCCCTCACTAGGTCGACGCAGCATCAAATGAGTACTTGGTGCGGTGTGTAAACATCGCTACTAAGGAGACAAAGGCGGCCGGGCGTGTTGTTGGCCACCCATCCCTTCGTGTGCCGTGCCGCCCTTTATAGGTGCTCGCTAAAAGCACTTGCCCCGACATTCTGTCAAGCCTATACGGGGGATTTTTGTCTTTTTTCAGTGTTTGTGTGTGGTGCTGGGTGTCTGTGTGGTGCTGGGTGTCTGGTGCTGGGTGACTATGTGTGGTGCTGGGTGTCTGTGTGGTGCTGGGTGTCTGTGTGGTGCTGCGCATCTGTGTGTGGTGCTGGGTGTCTGGTGCTGGGTGTTTTTGTGTGGTGCTGGTGTCTGTGTGTGGTGCTGGGTGTCTGTGTGGTGCTGGGTGTTTGTGTGGTGCTGGTGTCTGTGTTTGGTGCTGGGTGTCTGTGTTTGGTGCTGGGTGTCTGTGTGGTGCTGGGTGTCTGTGTGGTGCTGGGTGTTTGTGTGTGGTGCTGGGTGTTTGTGTGTGGTGTTGGGTGTCTGTGCGTGGTGCTGGGTGTTTGTGTGTGGTGCTGGGTGTTTGTGTGCTGCTGGGTGTTTATGTGTAGTGCTGGGTGTTTGTGTGTGGTGCTGGTGTCTGTTTGGTGCTGGGTGTCTGTGTGGTGCTGGGTGTTTGTGTGTTGTACTGGGTGTCTGTGTGGTGCTGGGTGTCTGTGTGGTGCTGGGTGTCTGTGTGGTGCTGGGTGTCTGTGTAGTGCAGGGTGTCTGTGTGTGGTGCTGGGTGTCTGTGTGTGGTGCTTGGTATCTGTGTGGTGCTGGGTGTCTGTGTGTGGTGCTGGGTGTCTGTGTGTGGTGCTGGGTGTCTATGTGTGGTGCTGGGTGTCTGTGTGTGGTGCTGGGTATCTGTGTGATGCTGGGTGTCTGTGTGTGGTGCTGGGTGTCTGTGTAGTGCTGGGTGTCTGTGTGATGCTGGGTGTCTGGGTGTGGTGCTGGGTGTCTGTGTGGTGCTGGATGTCTGTGTGGTGCTTGGTGTTTGTGTGTGGTGCTGGGTGTCTGTGTGTGGTGCTGGGTGTCTGTGTGTGGTGCTGGGTGTCTGTGTGTGGTGCTGGGTGTCTGTGTAGTGCTGGGTGTCTGTGTGTGGTGCTGGTGTCTGTTTGGTGCTGGGTGTCTGTGTGGTGCTGGGTGTTTGTGTGTTGTACTGGGTGTCTGTGTGGTGCTGGGTGTCTGTGTGTGGTGCTGGGTGTCTGTGTGTGGTGCTGGGTGTTTGTGTGGTGCCGGGTGTCTGTGTGGTGCTGGGTGTCTGTGTGGTGCCGGGTGTCTGTGTGGTGCTGGGTGTCTGTGTGGTGCTGGGTGTCTGTGTGTGGTGCTGGGTGTCTGTGTGGTGCTGGGTGTCTGTGTGTGGTGCTGGGTGTCTGTGTGTGGTGCTGGGTGTCTGTGTGGTGCTGGGTGTCTGTGTGGTGCTGGGTGTCTGTGTGGTGCTGGGTGTCTGTGTGTGATGCTGGGTGTCTGTGTGTGGTGCTGGGTGTCTGGGTGTGGTGCTGGGTGTCTGTGTCTGGTGCTGGGTGTCTGTGTGGTGCTGGTTGTCTGTGTGTGGTGCTGGGTGTCTGTGTGGTGCTGGGTGTCTGTGTGTGGTGCTGGGTGTCTGTGTGTGGTGCTGGGTGTCTGTGTGTGGTGCTGGGTGTCTGTGTGTGGTGCTGGGTGTCTGTGTGTGGTGCTGGGTGTCTGTGTGGTGCTGGGTGTCTGTGTGTGGTGCTGGGTGTCTGTGTGGTGCCGGGTGTCTGTGTGGTGCTGGGTATCTGTGTGATGCTGGGTGTCTGTGTGTGGTGCTGGGTGTCTGTGTGGTGCTGGGTGTCTGTGTGTGGTGCTGGGTGTCTGTGTGGTGCTGGGTGTCTGTGTGTGGTGCTGGGTGTCTGTGTGTGGTGCTGGGTGTCTGTGTGTGGTGCTGAGTGTCTGTGTGTGGTGCTGGGTGTCTGTGTGGTGCTGGGTGTCTGTGTGTGGTGCTGGGTGTCTGTGTGTGGTGCTGGGTGTCTGTGTGTGGGGCTGGGTGTCTGTGTGTGGTGCTGGGTGTCTGTGTGTGGTGCTGGGTGTCTGTGTGGTGCTGGGTGTCTGTGTGTGGTGCTGGGTGTCTGTGTGTGGGGCTGGGTGTCTGTGTGTGGTGCTGGGTGTCCGTGTGTGGTGCTGGGTGTCTGTGTGTGGGGCTGGGTGTCTGTGTGTGGTGCTGAGTGTCTGTGTGTGGTGCTGGGTGTCTGTGTGTGGTGCTGAGTGTCTGTGTGTGGTGCTGGGTGTCTGTGTGTGGTGCTGGGTGTCTGTGTGTGGTGCTGGGTGTCTGTCTCACGCTGGGCGTCTCGCGCAGCATTACGCACGCCCAGCTGTCACATTCCGTCTCTCCGCTCCATACATGGAGACACGAGGCTCCTTTTCTCTCTGGAGCCATGCCTGCTTACGGGACGCACGGGGCCCCTGTGCCTCCCAGTACCCCTTAATCCTCCCGGTCCCCCAGATCCTTGGGACTCCATCCTCACAGCGTCTCCTAATACCACTCGGGGGTCTCAGACCCCCCTAGATTGGGGTCCCCCACGTGGTCTCGGATACAAATGCTGTCTGCTGCGCGACACCATCGCCGACAGCTCCGCGTGGATGGAACTCGCGCCGCGTGGCAGCGGGGTGCTGTTACGTGGATCCACGTGGTTGAGAAGTGGGGGTCACGGCGGTTGGGGGGGAGAGGGGGGCGAACGAGAGAGGGGGGGGCACTTAATTTAGAACCACGTGCTACTGCTGTTAATCACGGACTGGATCGCAATGACGCCAGCGTCGCTGAGTCATCCCTGATGACCTCTCCCCCAATCCTTGATCCCCCTCCGTCAATGATCCCCAATCCCCGATTCCCGTCGGGGGCGCCGAGGTAGCGAGATGTTAACTCCCTCGCCTGGCATACAGGAGGTCGTGGGTTCGATCCAGACCCTGACGACTTGCTGTATATTTAGAGTTTGCGTGTCTCTCTTCCCGTGGTCGTGTGGATTTTTCTCCGGGTCCTCCAGTTTTCCCCTCCACATTTAGACTCAACATCACGCTTAGAATCAACATCACGCGTTTAGAGTATTTGGCTGCTTCTATAAATATCCACGTGATAATCCACTTCGTTGAGCTATCATTTGTGATAGCCAACTCGCTTCTCAAAGAGAGCTGTATAGCTCTGCCTTACCTGTGGAGTAGCCACGTGGAGTACACTTGTTGAATGTATGTTTAACTTATTTCGCACCCTACGTTGCCAAACGTGCTAATCGGAAGTGCGGCATATTTATTTTTTCATTTTAATAATGAACCAAATGAATGAGTAGCCAAGGGGATCCACGTGGAGTAGCCTAGGGGGTCATGTGGATCAGGAAGGGGGTCCACGTGGAGTTTCCAAGGGGACCCGTGTGTAGTAGTCCAAAGAGTTCACGTGGATCAGTCAAGGGGGGCTCTATCAATGATACTAATTGAGGGGGTACATCATATGGCTTTGACCACTTCGGAGGAGGGGATAGCACCCCGGTCCCCTTTGTCCCCTTTTTTTAGAGGATTTGCTGAGCGCTGTTGCGCCAGCAGCAGCAGCTGAGCGTGCGGTCACCGTACCGGGATGCGTGGCATGTGGGACCCCTGGGGCTCGGGGGGCCCGGAGGGGGGTCCGGTGGGAGAGTGGGGTAGGGGTGCGGATAAGGGGGTTGTTTTAGGAAGTGGGGGTCAGTGGGGACCAAGGGGATCGTGTGACGCTGACATCATCGCCTCCTAAATTGAGCGCGCGTCGTCTGGAGCCGCGACCCCCTCCCCCACCCCGCCCCCCTCTCTCTCCCGTGCGCCCCCCCCCCCGCTTTCACCTCTGCCGTGATGCAATAGCCCCCCCCCGGGCCCAGCATTTCGGGCTGTGGAGGGGAGGAGGAGTGGGGGGAGGCGACGCCTATAAAAGACGCAGCAGCGGCCGCGACGGACACACAGAGGTACAGCCCAACAACAGCGACATGCAGCTCACGCAGGTACACGGCGAGGGCCCGGTCCCTCTGGGCCCCCTCTCTCCTCCTCCCCCTCCCCCCTCGGCTCCCTTATTCGTCTCTCATCCATCTCCCTCTCGTCGTGCCTCATGTCCCCGTGTCTCATGTCCCCGTGTCTCTGTCTCCACAGAACGGAGAGACCGCGGCGCCCCCCGTGACCCGTGACCTGAGCCGCGTCAAGGTTTGTCTCTCTGTCCCCGTGTCTACGTCTTTGTCTCTCTGTCTCTACGTGTCCACCAGGTCCCCGTGTCTACGCCTATGTCTCTCTGTGTCTACATGTCCACCAGGTCCCTGTGTCTCCGTGTTCCTGTGTCTCCGTGTCTGTGCCTTTGTCTCTCTGCCTCCACGCGTTCCCCGTGCGTCCATGTCTTTGTCTTTCTATCTCTGCGTGTCCACCAGGTGCCCGTGTCTACGTCTTTGTCTCTCTGTGTCTACGTGTCCCCCAGGTATTCGTGTCTCCGCGTCTGTCTCTCTTAAAGTGTCCCGCTTGACCCTCCTGTCTCTGCGTCTCCGCGCCTGAATCCGTGGCCAAGACCGGCAAATATCCTCCTCGTTGACGCCGCGCGAGATGTCAGCACTGAGGAGGGAATCGCCCACTCGTCGTCCACTAGTCGTCCACTAGTCGTCCACTAGTCGTCCACTCGTCGCGTTTCAGTCGGCACGCTGTCGAGTTAAAATCCGCTTCAACTCGCCACGCACAGAAACTGCTGTCGCTAAATATTTGCCAACTCGAGTGGAACCGAGGTATGCGCTGGCGCACGGACTTTGTCCCCGCGTTTCCGTGTCCCCACAACCTCCGTGTCTCAGTGTCCCCGCGTTTCCTTATCTCGCTCTGCTTCCTCCCCTCGCACTGCTCCACTTTTGAATTCCATCCCCGCGTCGTCATCATTATCATCTCTCACCCTCCCCCTCCCCCCAAGGTCTTACAACTAATCACCTCACTTAATCCCAGACGCGCGCTACGCGTTTGTCCGTTGCACATTCCACATTCGCTTGACGTATTGGACGTTGTGCTTTGTGTAAAAAAATACATATAGATACATATATACATATCAGACATCTGTCATACCTCGTCTCCTCCTCCCCCCCCCCGCCCCCCCGTGCCCCCCGTCCCCCCCGTGCCCCCCAGGCTGATGGAGACAGAACCCGCAAGCACTCGGGGGACCTGCGCCGTGAGATCGAGTCCTTCGGGGGCTCCGTGTGCCTGGCGCGCGCGCGCAGGCGGCGCCGCGCCCAACGCAAGCTCCAGGAGCCCCCCAAACCCGAGCCCGAGCCCGAGGAGGTGACCTCACTCATCATCATCACTGCTGAGCCACGACCCTGAGCCACGCTCCGGCCCTGAGCCACGCTCCGGCCCTGAGCCATGCTCCGGCCCTGAGCCACGCTCCGGCCCTGAGCCACGACCCTGAGCCACGCTCCGGCCCTGAGCCACGCTCCGGCCCTGAGCCACGCTCCGACCCTGAGCCACGACCCTGAGCCACGCTCCGACCCTGAGCCACGCTCCGGCCCTGAGCCACGACCCTGAGCCACGCTCCGGCCCTGAGCCGCGCTCCGGCCCTGAGCCACGCTCCGACCCTGAGCCACGCTCCGACCCTGAGCCACGCTCCGACCCTGAGCCACGCTCCGGCCCTGAGCCACGACCCTGAGCCACGCTCCGGCCCTGAGCCACGCTCCGGCCCTGAGCCACGCTCCGGCCCTGAGCCACGACCCTGAGCCACGCTCCGACCCTGAGCCACGCTCCGGCCCTGACTCTAACCCTTACACAGCCCAATCAGAGGAGGTGACTTCTTCTCAGCCTGACCATGATCTTGACCTTGACGCTGACCTTCACTCGCCGTGACCCTTAAACCTGACCCAATCACCCTGTCGTGCCCCCCCCCCCACCCCCTCCAGGAGGGCCCCGTGAGCCCCGAGGAATTCCTCCGCGCCGCTGCGGAGGGCAAGCTGAAGGCGGTGGAGCGGTTCCTGGAGGCGCAGGGCAACCCCGACACCTGCGACCAGGTGAGAGGGCTGGCGGGATGGATGCCATGGCAGTGGTGCAAAAGCACAACAACGACAGCACTCGACGCGTTCGCCAATAACGTTGTTGTTGTTGTTGTCTGTGTGTGTGTATGTATGTTGAACTTCTTTCGCACCCTACGTTGCCACCGTACGTAGCCACCCATGCTAAACGGAGGCGCGCGTGCCTGCGGCCTGACAAGGGGAACAATATAAGTAAATAATACGCGATGTTTCAGGCCAATTGGGCACTTGATATGACAAGTGAAACGTCAGACATCGTGCCGAGCAGCACGGGGTACGGAGCCGAACGCGCGCCGGAGAGTCGGTAACGATGATATCTGTGACGGGATGATGAAGATGATGAAGATGATTGTGATGTATATAGACGATGGCTAATGCACTGGTAATGAATATAAATAGCAGCGAGGAGACGCAGACATCGTGATGATGATGATGGTGTATTAATAGTTAGGGGATTAGCGAGTGCGGCTTAAAGATCATCGTGACGATGACGGATTATGTTGGTGATGATATAATGAAGATAGTAGTGATAATGATGATGTACTGATGAAGATCGTAGTGATGATGTTGATGATGTAATGGTGGTGGTGGTGATTGACAGCTGAAACGCACGGCCCTGCACCGCTCCGCCGTGGAGGGGCACGAGGAGCTGATCAAGCGCCTCCTGGAGAGCGGGGCCCGTGTGGACCTCACAGACAGGGTACGGCCCCCCTAAGGCCCCATCCCTTCCTAGGACCCCATCCATCCCTCAAACCCCATCCATCCCTCGGACCCCATCGATCCCTAGGATCCATTCCTTATTTGGACCCCATCCCTTCCTCGCGGCCCATCCGACCCCGTCGAGTCCACAATCCCTTCCCTTGGCCCCTACCCCTCCCGCAGGCCCCCATCCCTCCCTTCCATCCTCCTTCCCTACCTCGTGCCCTCATCCATCCCATTTCTCTCTCCGCCCCACCCCCGCTGATGCGTTGATCCTCAAGGAGAATCTCCCCCCCCCCCCACTCTCCTGCCCCCCCCCCTCCCCCAGCTGGGCAGCACTGCGGTGCACTGGGCGTGCCGCGGGGGCAGCGTGGAGGCGCTGAAGCTGCTGCAGGAGCACGGGGCGCGGGTCAGCGACAAGGACAAGGTGCGCGCACGTGTGCGTGGGTGGCCGGCCGTTAGGTCGACTCAGCCTTAAATGAGTTGCTGATGCGGTATCGTAAATATCAGCGCTGAGGAGACCAGATGGACGGCCGATGGGAGTCGTGGGGGGGGGGATGACCCGCCCTCCTTTGCTGGCCTGCCCCTACTGGACATCTGTAAAAGAAAGCTTCATAGCTCATCGGATTCCTCCTCCAGTCTAAGCACAGATTCTGATTCTAAATACGCAAGAAAGGCCTCCACACTGACCCAGCAGCAGAAGTCCCTGGCCTCGAACCCCCTGGAACACAGTGGACGGCACACACCGTGGGTGTCGCGGTGGCTAGGAGATGTTAACTACCTCGCCAGGAATACAGGAGGTCACGTGGGTTCGATCCCCGACCCTGACGCCTGCTGTGTATTTGGAGTTTGCTCGTCTCTCTCTCCCCGTGGCCGCGTGGATTTATCACTGGGTCCTCTGGTCGCAATACATTGTGACGTGATGATGAGCCAATTGGTTGAGCTGTCATTTGTGACAGCCTGGTAGAAATAAAATGAATAGTTGTATCCAGTCCCGGACCGCGTCCACACGCGTGTTGTGCACCCGTCTGATCGGGGTTTTTTATTCACTTCATTGACCTCCCCCGCGCCCCCTCCAGGCGATGAGCACACCGCTGCACGTGGCGGTGCGCACGGGGCGCGCGGGTTGTGTGGAGCACCTCCTGGCGTGCGGGGCCGACGTGAACTCACGCGACCGGGTGAGTGGGCACTCACCACCACCACCACCAGGCTCACCACCGTCACGCTGAGCGCTCATCTTCACCCCCACCATCACTTGATGCTCACGCTCGCCTCTCTCTCTCTTACATCTGCCCGCTCGCTCTCCTTTCTCTCTTTTTTTCTCTCCGTCTCCCCACTCGACCTCTCTCTCCCGCTACCACTCTCTTCCCCCGCTCTCTCTATCCCTCCTTGCTCACTCTCGCACCCCCTGACTCTCCCTCCCCCCCTGTCTCTGTCCCTCGTTCTCTCAGGAGGGGGACACTCCCCTGCACGACGCCGTCCGTCTCGGCCGGCCCCGCATCGTGCGTCTCCTGGTGCTGCACGGGGCCGGACTGCAGATCAAGAACGCGGTGAGCCGGCGGGTAGCGGAAGACGACGACGATTGATGAGACGGAGGATAGACAAGTGGAGAGAGGAGAGACACAATAATTATAGACGATGATGACGGTACACGACGATGATGATAATGATGCTGAGACGGAATAAGGAGGAGGAAGATAGGATCAGGAAGTGGAGCGAGGAGAGCAGATATAATGGTGATGAGTAGAGATCATGAGCTAGATTGATGATTATGTTTCTTTTCTTCATCCAGATGAGGATATCGATAAACAAAGACAAAGATCCCCCGTATAGCCTATGAACAGACTGTTGGGACAAGCGCTGTTAGCGATCACTTATGAAGGCTGGCACGTCACACGAAGGTGGCCAGCACCACGTCCGGCCGCCTTTGTCTCCCTAGCGACGATGTTTACATCGCACCAGGTATTAATTTGAGGCTGAATCGACCTAGGGGAGGCCCACTGGTGTTGGCCGCGACGAACTCGGGTCGCCGAGTTTGTAGAGCAGCGCGCGAACCGCTACACTCCTGCTCATAGGGAGCGCTGCTGCTCGCTAACAGCACTCGCCTCAGCAGTCTGTTAAGGCCACACGGGGGGTCTTTGTCGTCACTAAACAGTGCCAGGATACAGTCCCATTTGCAAGAGTGACCTGGTGACATTCGTCTGCCAGTAGTGGATGACCACAGATGCTGCTGCTGTGTGCACAACTATCTCAAGTAGAGCATGACGATGGCACACAATGGCTTCACTCTTGCGAATGCCGTCAGGAGACCTTTGACGTCCGCTGAGAGTGATGAAGACGGCGCGTCATTGTTTGGGTTTTACAAACTACCGCGGTATTCATCGGGACGGCCGCCCTACTCGAGACGCGAACTTCTAGAGGAGGATGAGGAGGGTGAAGAGGTTGTGGAAAAGACACGGCGACGATGATGATGTTGATGTGGAGGAGCACGAGTGGTGTGTGTTTATGACTGTGCGTATATGAAGAGAGGGTGACATTGCAGGAGGGGATATTTAAAACCTTGACATTTAAAAAATTACTCTGTACTTACGAGTCACGTGCCCCGACCCTTTGCACCCCCCACACCCTACTTGTTACCCCACCCAACCCCGTCCTGCCACCCGACAGGAACGGAAGACCCCCCTGGATCTGGTGCGCAAGTGGGAGAGTGGAACATGCAGTGCCCTGAAGGGATTAGCGGCCAGCGGATAGAGAGATGGGAGTGCAGGGAGAGTGATGGGTGGAGGGGGGCAGGGGGACAGTCGGAAATGCAGGGAGAGAGGGGGAGCGGCGGTGCCGGGTTGAGCCGCTCCCACCCTCGTGGGCTCGCAGCTCCCGGGCCACGCGCGGTAAATGTCACCTGCGTCAGTCGCCTCTCTGATCTTTAACTTATTTAACTTATTACTGCGCGCGAGGGGTGAGGATGGTGAAGATAAGGATGGCCATGGGCAAAGTTCAAGTGTTCAAGTTTATGTTGTTGAACCAGACGAGAGCTCAAGAGAGACCAGGATAGCGTCTCATTTGCAAAGAGTGACCTCGGTCAACCAACATTATAAATGGTGCAGGTGATGACGGAAGTGCTGATAATGATCACGATGACCACCATCGGGATGAAGAGGATCAAGAGGATGGTTTTACTGATGACCATGATGCTCATGGTGATGATGACCATCACAGAGGTGAAGACCATACTATTGATGATGACAATGATTAAGATGAGGATGATTGTGATGATCGCGTGACATATCGTAATTTAACTCTAAGCAATGCAAGCGTGTGGTAGCTGACATTGGGACCCCCGTCTCTTACGGGGGTCCCGACCTGGGTTCGTCATTTATAGTGGCCCAGATCCTACAGTGGAAGGGGCTATTGTTGCAAGTGTAATTGAGGGGGGTGGGGGGCTTGAGTGTGAGATTGAAGGGGAGGGGTTTTGTTGTTGTAAGTATGGAGGGGGGGGGGCTTGTTGTGAGAGGCACTTTATAAATTATTAAAACACGCGCCATGAGCGTTACAAACTCTGTTCGTCGGATGTCTCTGCGGTGTTCATTCGCAACGGCGGTGCCAGACCCCGCACGCTGTCCACTACCAGACCGCGCCATCGTCACCAGCAGCCATGGTCAATCCACTGCTGGATGAAGGCCTCTCCCACAAGCCATCGCTCTCTTCACAGTCGGGCGATGTAACATTCGCCTGTCATATCATCTCACCTGTCACCTCTCACGCGTCATCTCGTGCCCGTTATCGCCTCGGCTGTTATCGTTCTCCTGTTATCAGTTACCCGTCACTCATGCAAAGTCCGTCTGTGTGAGTTGTGGGGCAGCCTCGCCATCACTATAAAACAATAACAACAACAGCCATTGTCATCCCTCCAACATAACACACAGCTGCTGCTGTTGCTGCTGCACGGGGCAGCCATCTAATTCCACTCTCAGCCATCATCTATCCACTGCTGTATGAAGGCCTCCCCCAAGTCGTAGGCCGTCTCTCAGAATCTTAATATTGATACTGGAGGAATGTGATGAGCTATATAAGCTATTTTTTTCACAGATGTCCAGTGGGGCAGGTCATAACATTACAATAAATAATACAAAAACACGACCGGAGTGCAAATTATAGACACGCTAAACAAATCACTTAAAAAAACATATACACAAATACATCTATTTTTTTTAATCTTACAAGGTCAGGCCCACTGCACCATTAGCTTCTTTTTCAGAAGCACCCTGGCCACAAACGCAACAATCCTTACGGCTCGATGGCACAGGAGCTGATTCCACTGATTCATCGCTCCATCTCCACGCTTGACTTAATCAAATCCGTGATCGTGTGATGATGCTCGTTGTAATTACTGGCGAAACGTCGTACTCAGATTGCAAATGTTGTGGATTTTCTCTATAACACAACCGGTGTTGCTGTACGAGTAACGGATTGGCCACGTTCTGCTAACGTGACAAACCCCTTACTAATTGGCTGTGTCGGGTGGTGGCGGGTTTAACGACACAACATTTATATATATTTACGCGATCTAACCCACCCAAAAAACCCTGTATTATGGATGATATTGGTCGCGAAAGTCCCACTACGTGTAACCCTTCATTAATCCGATAAACAACCCCTCACAATTATCTCAAATTCCATGTTGCAATCTATGGGACCTTTTTTGGCAGCCGAATGATGAAAATAGAAGAACCACCTTTAATCTTTGACGTAATAAAACAGGAGCTGTTAAGATGTCCAAACACCAAATGGATACCTTTAACAAGGCATCAAGTCTACATTAACCACACATACATGTGGCAAAACATGCAAACACACATGCCGTAATAATTATGAATTATATATCATGTTGCCGCTCCTCATCACGAAAGATGCAGGGTCAACACGTGCGTGATGACGCCATCACGCAGGTACCACCCACGCATTCGCGTCCCCGCGCATGAGTCACTGTGCGCGACGACGTCACAACGCAAGACCCCTGCGCCGCGTGCGTCGAACGTCACGCGACAGCTCCTCCGTACTCTTTGCGCGGTGACGTCAACAACGCTGGGAACCAGTCCGTGCGTGGTGACGTCTGGGTCGCAGAACGCCCGCCTCGTGCGTGGTGACGTCAGGAGGCAAGACCACGGAGGGGGGAGGTGCGTGCGTGGTGACGTCACGGGGCGCGGCTGTCCGTTCTGCCTCCCGGTTCAAACGGGGTTGGCGTCCCGTGTCTCTGTTCCACTCGAGCCGCGGGGTACCCCCCCGGTGTCTCCCCGCGCTTCTCTGTCTCCACGGACTCTCGAAGCGGGGTCGCGACCCCCCCTCCGCGGCTTAGGACGAGCGGCCCTGCTGAAGCCGAACCGCAAGGCTCCGGACTCTCCCCGCCGATCTCGGCTAGCGCGCCCCGCCGGGGAGGGCGTGTCTTGCTCGGCCGAGCTCTGTAGGCCTCAGGGGCCACCCCCACACCCCCCCCCGGGGGTTTTCACAACCATGGCCTTCCTCAACTTTCGCAAGTTCTTCAAGCTGGGCCCCGACAAGAAGAAGCCCAAACAGTACGAGCACGTGAAGCGGGACCTGAACCCCGAGGACAGCTGGCTCATCGTGGGCGAGCTGGGGGACGGAGCCTTCGGCAAAGTCTTCAAGGTGGGAACGAGAACTCGGGGCCCGCGCGCGGTCACTTCCCGGCGGCCCAGCGCCTCTAACGGGGACTCATTCACGGCGTGTACTGCGGACCCACTCGTAAACTCTGCGTGGCTCCATTCATCGACTGTGCAGGGGACCCATTCAAAGGCTATACAGGGACCCTGTCTATGCTGTACAGGGACACAGCCATGGAGGTTACAAGGACTCGGTCGAATACAATACAGTAATTTACAGGGACCCACATATATATCCTGTACAGGTACCGGTCAGGACCGCACGGCGACACCCCCTCTCAGATCAATATCCAGTCGTGCGCAAGGTTCGAACACGTGCAGGGTGTGTGACATATACGCTGTTGTAACAGCTGTTGTTTTTTTGATGCCCGCGGCAGCGAGACTACCTCGCCGAGGGCTTTTTTTAATCTCTAAAACTTGAAACGGCGAAGCATTAGCGGAGGCCTGCGGCAAGGTGTGGCTGGCATTGGGCGTGAGTGTTCCCTTTCCGGCTCCCTCGCGTCTCTCCTCTCGTCTCTCTCCCACCCTAGATCTCCCGTCGCCTCCTCCCCACCCGATCTCCCATCGCCTCCTCCCCACGGTGGTCGTGACTTTCTGTGCCCCCGCTCCCCGTCGCCACCTCCCTTCCCCGCGAGCGTCGTTGACGAGTCTCGCTCGCTCGCGCGCGCCCTTGTGTGTGTGTGTTTTGGTCGTATAACTTCCACCCATTTTACTGCCAGCCGCCCCCAGCGACCTCCTCGCCGAGCCGCGTTGACTTGGCACCACTCTGGAAATTCCGGTCGTTTAGCGGCGGCGAGCGACCAGAGAAGCGAGGCGGAAGTTGGTGGCTTCACAGAGACCACGCGCGGTCTTCCCTGGTTACAGGGAGCCCCGACCCCCCCCAGGTTCGCGTCGAGGTCCTGCGGGGGCGCACACGGGTAGCGAGGTGTCGGCTACCTCACAGGGTTTATTTACACTAGGTCGTTGCTTCAGAATCGGAATCTTTATTTTGACTTGTGGAATCCGATGAAGCCGGGAAGATCGTTTCCCCCCCCCCACAGATGCCCAGTAGGGGCGGGTCCGAAAGTCTTAACAACAACTGGATCCCGACCCTGACGCCTGTATATTTGTGGAGTTTGCGTGTTCTCCCCGTCTCTCCCCGTGGTCGCGTCGACATTTCTCCGGGTCGTCAGGTTTTTCCTTTCGCATTTAGAAGCGTGCGTTTAGAGTATTTGGCTGCTATAAATGTCCACGTGATATGCCACGCCGTTGAGCTATCATTTGTGGCCAGGTCGCTTCTGAAAAAGAGCGCTCTATCGCTTACCTGGTAACGAAAAAAATCGATTCGTGGGATCCCAGCTCATGGCCCAGGGACCGTGGCACTTGGCCGGGCACTTGGCAATCGTCGGGCACCCGTCCGTGTTGCACCCCACAGGGGGACCCGTCCGTTTTGCACCCCACAGGGGGACCCGTCCGTGTTGCACCCCACAGGGGGACCCGTCCGTGTTGCACCCCACAGGGGACCCGTCCGTGTTGCACCCCACAGGGGGACCCGTCCGTGTTGCACCCCACAGGGGAACCCGTGCGTGTTGCACCCCACACGGGGACTCTTCCCTCCTCCTCTATGCCCTCTCCCGGAAGCTAATCCAAGGGATTGGGGCCTCCTTGGCAGGGGATTTCGTGAAAAAAAGATGGTCTGTGGTGTCGGCAGGATCCAAGATTCGCGGTGTCGGAGGTCGGGGTTTGAATGGCCCGCGTAAAGAGAGCTTGGCTCGGTGGGTAACTGGGTGGTCAAACGCAGGGTGGTGGTAGAACACACGTGGCGCGATATAAGGTTGTTGGGTTATTGGGTGGGCGGACCTACGTGGTGGGGTAATAAGGTGGTGGGTATTGGGTTGGGGTTGTATATGGCGATTGATATAGGGTGGTTAACAGGGTGTTATGTCCCACGTAGCAGGCTAATGGGTGGTGGGGCACAGCGTGGGGATGAGCGAAAGCGCGTGCTGTGGATTTGGCCGGCTCGGGCACACAGCGGCTTCTCTGTTACCGGAGCCCCCACCCCCCTCCTCCAAGTCGTGACGTCGGCAGGGCCCGACTGTGTAATGGAAATCTTTAGGGGAAGGGTTGTGCAGGGTGCCCCTGGGCAGAGAGACCCACGACTCCTTTTGGAGTTTGGCCCAATGACCGTGTGACGCCCGCTGCTGAGGTTTTGTGGCCGAGTCACTTCTTTACCCAGGCTTAGCTGCTGCGCGGTGGCCGCTTTGTCTTCGTAGGGCGGGTGAGGATGTGAGACCACGAGGGTGGAGACTGATTTCAATGTGCAGCACACCGCCCCTCGCCGCATCACGACGCACACAGGAACCACACACCACGGTGCACGGACACCACGCCACTCTGGACCCACCACTAACATATATCACAGCACAATAGTAGCACCCTATGCTGGTACGACACCACCCGATTTCCCAGCCAGTGCTTCACAATTGTGGGTCTACAACACACACCAGACCACCCTGGCACAATGCCACCCGTTTTGGCCACGGACTTTTCCACCGCCGCCGTCGCCACCACCGAGCAGGCCGGCGCACCCCAGGGTGTGGTGGGATCTGGCTGGGTGGCCACGTGTTTTGGCACGGCGAGCAATGAGGGTGCGGTGTCAGTCCGAACAGGAAGGTGATGGCGTCGCCGGTGTGTATTGCCTCACCGGCGTCGGGCGGTTACACGGGGGCCACGCGTGGGCATCCTTGTCAATCGCCGAGTGTCGGCTCTCCCGGGCGTTGTACACGTAGGCACACGCACACACGCACCGGCACGCACACACGCGCGCCAGCACACGCGCACCGACACATGGACTTGAACAGGAGAAGCGGTTCAGCAGCGCAAGCCTCCCCGGGGGATGGAGTTCGAGCCGTGGGGGGGCGGCAGCAGGAAAGAGAAATGTACTCCCCGTGCGTATTAACGTGCTCATGGCGCGCGAGGGGCCACTACTGTGCCTGGCCACCCCTGTCTCCCACCTTGGTCTAAATGAGTACCCCAGCGTGCAACAGCCATTTGGCAAATGTCCATTGACACATTGGACACGCGTGCAAACAAGATGTTCCATCTCAAGCGATGAGCCACATGGAACGTTGTAATTCATTAATACATAGAATGACATGCGTGTCGGTGCAGGCCCACATGCATGATAGTGTTTGTACATGTGCCACATCTCATGTGCATGTATGTGTGTTTTAGTTTGTGTGAGAGCGGCAGTGTAATGGTTAGCGCGCTGTGCTACGAACCTGGCGACCCGAGTTCGATTCCCACTAACGGCCAACACCAGTCACGATTATCTGAACCAGTCATGGATCTCCCCGAGGTCGACTCAGTCTCCAATGAGTACCTGGTGCAGTGTATAAAAATCGCCACTGGGGAGACAAAGGCGACCGGGCGTGGTGTTGGCCACCCACCCCCTCGTGTGCCATGCCGGCCTTAATAGTTGCTACTCGCTCACAGCACTGGCCCCACCAGTCTGTTCAGGCTATACCGGAGATCTTTGTCTTGTATGTTTGCTGTGGGAGCTCTTTTTCCACGTGTGTATATGAACATGTACAGCCCTTTCTGTCAATCCACTGTTGGATGAGTGCTCCCCATTCCGTATTGGTCGTGGGAGTGGGTTCGATTCCCGGAAATGACTAACATCACTGCAGAGCGATTTCAGAATCCATCCTGGGTGAGGGACCTTCTTTGTCTTTGCATGTCAGCACATGTGCACATGTGTAACGGCGCACACGCGTGCGTAAACACGCGCATGTTGCTGAGCACAGGCCTCAGAACGTGAAGCAGCTGAGCGTGTGCGCTCGTTTGCGCGAGGTTGTCTGCGCTCGTGTGCGTGCACGTGAGTGCAAGCATGAGCGTGCATGTCTGCACGTGTGTGTGAGTGCTCGTGTCAGCGTGTGTGTGTGCATGTGCGTGTCCCGCAGGCTCAGCACCGCGAGACTGGGCTGCTCGCCGCCGCCAAGGTGATCGACACGAAGAGCGAGGAGGAGCTGGAGGACTATATGGTGGAGATCGAGATCCTCGCGTCCTGTCACCATCGCAACATCGTCGAGCTTATGGATGCTTTCTACTACGACTACAAGCTCTGGGTACACGCGTGCTTATACGTGTGCGTGTTTGTGCGTGTGTACGCGCATGTGTGTTAGCCCCTGTAATTGACATGAAGAGAAGAAGGAACACCATATGGCTCGGCGTAGCAGCCCTCGGTGACTGACCTAGCAGGGCCTGCACCATAGGGAATCGCGCAGCCTCAGAGCCACAGGTAGTGGCTCTCTGATATGCAAGCAATGGCATGGCGGCTTAGCCTCTGAGCAACCTCGAGAGAGAGAGACATCCTTCTTGGCGGTAGTGGTGGTGGTAGTGGCGGAAGAGGAGGAAGTTGCAAAGGATGCATAGGGGCCGAGGCTGTCTTCGAGGCTGGGACTTTACGGTGACATTGCGATACAAGGTGGAGCATATGGAACGGGGGCAGTATGTGGTGGTGGGGGGGGGCAGATCGGTACGATGCGGGGCACATGCATGTGGGTGCTGAATTGTGGTGTGGCACATTAGGGGGGAGCGATGGTGTAGTGATTAGCGCACTGGTGGTGGCCATGTTGGCTCATGGCCAACACCAGTGACCTGGTGCGGTGTGTAAAGATCGCGACTAGGGAGACAGAGCCGGCCGGGAGTGGTGCTGGCCGGGAGTGGTGCCTCATGTGCTATGGTGGCCTTTCATATGTGCTCGCTAACAGCACTTGCCCCAACAGTCTGTTAAGGCACATTGCAGTGATGGTCATGGTGTATGCGGTGCCGTGTGTCATTTTCTGGTATGGCATATTGCATTCTGTTGCGGTGCGACGTGGTGTGGCAAGCCATATTGTGAACCACACTTTGGTGTAGGACTCGGTGTGCTGTGGTGCGTTGTGGTGTCGTGCGGCACAGCACGGCACAGCACGGCACAGCACGGCACAGCACGGCACAGCACGGCACAGCACGGCACAGCACGGCACAGCACTCTGCGGTGCGGTGCCAGACCTGGGGTCAGTCGCGGAGCTAATCGCGTCAAGCGTAACGAATCGCAGCCGCGTTGTAATCGTCACCGCGCTTAACGATGCAGCTGTAAATTTAATTGGAATTCATTCCAGGTGCGGTGCGGCTAGGGTGTCGCCCGCCGCTCCGTCGTGCAGAAGGATAGCGCCGCGTACCCCGCCGTCGACCCCCGTGCCGAGCGCCGTTATAGTAAACGCTAATCGGCTCGAGGCACACATTTCCCTCCCCCCACGCCGTGATAAACCGCACAATCCCCGCACCGCCACCACCGCCGCCGCCACCGCCCTGTCGCCCCCCCCCCCCTTGCTCAACGCTGGCCGTCCGGTCCTGCTCGTGGCGGCGGCCGCGACGGAACATGACGACGCCGATTGGTGAACGAGGCCGAGGCAGGAAGCCGGGGTGGTGGGGCTCGGGGAGGTTGGGGGGGGGGGCTGTCACTGAGCGACGCGCCTTGTGTGGGCGCGCTGCCGGGGAACTTTTGTGTTCTCTGTGGGGTTTTTTTCGGTTGCTTTTTTAGTTTTTTTGTTCTGTCGAAAAAGCAACGGGGCTGTGTTTATAACGGTGTGCCGAGCTTGGGTTGCCAGATGGATTCAATTTGCACCTCCTTTCCTCCTCTTACTTGTGAAACACACACGCCTCTAACATCTACTCGCACTATGAATAACTTGTTTGAGTAAACAAAAAAAGAAATGTTACTTTACGACCAGTGTGTGCGTAACCCAACTGTATTGCCTCAGCAATTCCAGAACATATACAGAGGAGTTTTAAGATTCACTGTGAATTCCAAAGACTCGAACAGCCAAACTAAAGCAACTCGTCTAAGATCCTGAGAATGTTTAGAATAAATGGCCTAAGACGTGCTACACAGCGGCGTTGTTTTGTGCATTCATTGGTGACCGCAATAAACTATCAACTCTGCACACCCATATTCCAGCCCAGGATATCTCAGTGTCACCCACCTGGCCATTATAAACCCCCTGAGATAAAGCGACAGACAAGACACCCAGACCCATGGCTCAAACCCAAGGTCTCAGCAGTGACATTATGAGCCACCTGGCCAACTCGGGAGTGCCATTTTGAAACTCTTTGGTGGGGCTCTCTCTTCCCAGCGGCACGTGGGGCCGGTCGTCGTCACCACGCTAATCCCGGGCTGGCGGGCATGCGGACAGGCACGCTGCCCGCGGCGTCACCGTCCTCGATGCCTTTGTAGCGATGAGATGGCGGTGGCATCATCGCGCGTGTAATTGACCCCCCCGGGAGGGGGGAGGACCGCGCAAGGGCGAACATGCCCCTGGAATGCCATGGCCCGCGCGATTCGAGTTCCGTGTTGCTTGAGCAGGAAGTTTGTCCTTGGCTTGTGGTCTGGCTCCAAGCTCGGCTCAGATTAGGCAGCGGCTAATAGGCAGAGCCCACCAGCATGGGAGGACTTTGGGCACGGGCAAGCAGGCGGGGCAGGCTGCCCTCTGATTAATTGACTACAGGGACAGGCTGTGCTCTTGTGAATAGACTGCTGAGGCTGGCTGCCCGCTCATGAATAAATCACAGGAGCAGGTTGCCCTCTAATAAATAACTTTCTGACCCGCCCATACTGGACATCTGTGAAAAAGAGCTTCATAGCTCATCGGATTCCTCCAGTTTAAATGAAGACTCTGATTCTGATACACAGACTGGAGGGAGAATCTCTCTGTGTGTATTTTGACCCATGCGCCAGCACGCATGCGGATGTGTATTTAAACCCCCGTGTGTAGTTTTGCTACGCCGCAGCCGGTTATCTCTGTGGGAGTCACGGAGCGATCCCAGGCCCCCTCCCTCGGCGTGTAGTCAAACTAAACTCAAACTATTAACTGTTTTATTTTACCCACTGAGCTATATCGCTCTTTTTAAGAATTGAACTGGCTACAAATGATAGCTCAACGAAACGAAATGGCTTATCGCGTGAAAATGTATGGTACCCAAATACTCTAAACGCATGTGGACTAACGGAGCGATTAGGATCGTGCAAATGGAACAAAAGAAAAACAGAAACGAGATTAAAACTTCACTTGGCTGTCGCCTGCGTCTCCCTCGCGAGTCGGCGTGGACGATGCGCTCCGAGTCGCTGGATGGGAAACCCAACTTAGAGTTGCCCCGAGCGCAGCTCTGCTTCTCGGTGGTGTTTATTGTCGTTGGTTGTGCGCTGTATCGTCCGCGCTGGGTTGTTTTGAACGCCGTGTGTTCTGCGACCACTTCCTCACCGAGTCGTCGTCTCAAAGGCTGCCCCGTCCTGGCACCTCTGATGAGCACGGTTGGCTGCGTGCGGCGCGAAAGAAGTTCAACCATACACCCTTGCAACGTGCAAGGCACGGCGGTGTAAATAATACACGGCGATGATGAAATGTGGAACCGGAAGACCCCGGGGGAGGCCGCGTGACACCGGGTGACATTGGGGTCAGGGTCACCAGCCCCTTTGACCACGCGCCACCAACACCGCCGTTGCCACCTATTTCGAGCCACCGCTGTGCTGCTGGGGGTGGGTAGGGGGCCTCCATTGGATTGTTTCCCCCCCCCCACCACAAACGCCTGGCCGGTGTCACGTGTCACCTTTTGTCTGACACGGAAAGATCGAGTCGGGATTGTGGTCGTCACAACCCTGTGCTCAGGAGCTTGTGAATAAGTTAGAACACGTGGGCTGTGTGTGCTCACAGGTGCGTGGGCGGTGTGTGCTCACAGGTGTGTGGGCTGTGTGTGCTCACAGGTGCGTGGGCCGTGTGTGCTCACAGGTGCGTGGGCTGTGTGTGCTCACAGGTGCGTGGGCTGTGTGTGCTCACAGGTGCGTGGGCTGTGTGTGCTCACAGGTGTGTGGGCTGTGTGTGCTCACAGGTGCGTGGGCTGTGTGTGCTCACAGGTGCGTGGGCAGTGTGTGCTCACAGGTGCGTGGGCCGTGTGTGCTCACAGGTGCGTGGGCTGTGTGTGCTCACAGGTGCGTGGGCCGTGTGTGCTCACGGGTGCGTGGGCCGTGTGTGCTCACGGGTGCGTGGGCCGTGTGTGCTCACGGGTGCGTGGGCTGTGTGTGCTCATGGGTGCGTGGGCTGTGTGTGCTCACGGGTGCGTGGGCTGTGTCCCCATATAACCCTCTGTTCAGCCCCCATCCTATTCCCGCTAATGCGTCAGCCTCAAAATTACTACGTCCAGCGCTGCGTGCTGATGTTTGTTTAAAGGTCCACTTGTGTGTGTATCTGTGTGTCCGTGTGTGAGTGTGTGTGTGTAAATGTGTGTCTGTATGTATGTCTGTGTACGTGTGTGTGTAAATGTGTCTGTATGTATGTCTATGTACGTGTGTGTGTGTAAATGTGTCTGTATGTATGTCTGTGTACGTGTGTGTGTAAGTGTGTCTGTATGTATGTATGTCTGTGTACGTGTGTGTGTGTCTGTATGTGTGTCTGTGTACGTGTGTGTGTAAATGTGTGTCTGTGTGTGTGTGCCTGTGTACGTGTGTGTGTGTCTGTGTGTATGTGTGTGTGTAAGTGTGTCTGTATGTATGTATGTCTGTGTACGTGTGTGTGTGTCTGTGTGTATGTCTGTGTGTGTGTCTGTGTGTATGTGTGTGTAAATGTGTCTGTGTGTGTGTCTGTGTGTGTGTAAATGTGTGTCTGTATGTATGTCTGTGTACGTGTGTGTGTGAGTGTCTGTATGTATGTATGTCTGTGTACGTGTGTGTGTGTAAATGAGTCTGTATGTATGTCTGTGTACGTGTGTGTGTGAGTGTCTGTATGTATGTATGTCTGTGTACGTGTGTGTGTGTGTGCAAATGTGTGTCTGTGTGTATGTCTGTGTACGTGTGTGTGTATGTCTGTGTACGTGTGTGTGTCTGTGTGTATGTCTGTGTGTATGTGTGTGTAAATGTGTTTGTGTGTGTGTCTGTGTATGTCTGTGTGTGTGTAAATGTGTGTGTGTGTCTGTACGTGTGTGTGTGTAAATGTGTGTCTGTGTGTATGTCTGTGTACGTGTGTGTGTGTATGTCTGTGTACGTGTGTGTGTCTGTGTGTATGTGTGTGTGTAAATGTGTCTGTGTGTGTGTCTGTATGTCTGTGTGTGTAAATGTGTCTGTGTGTGTGTCTGTGTACGTGTGTGTGTGTAAATGTGTGTCTGTGTGTGTCTGTGTACGTGTGTGTGTGTAAATGTGTGTCTGTGGGTATGTCTGTGTACGTGTGTGTGTGAGTCTGAGACCAGGAAAGGCAGCAGGCAGAGATGATCTCCCAAGCGAAATGCTGAGGGAGGGTGGCGTTTGTGCACAGACTGCCTAATATGACATCATAACAACAGTCTGGACCACTGGACGGGTTCCGCAGGATTAGAACGATGCCCTGGCGGTCCCCCTCTTTAAGAAGGGGGACCGCACAGACTGTAACAACTACAGGGGCATCTCACTCCTCACTGTGCCGGGAAAGGTCCTGGCAAGGATTATTCAACATCGCCTTGCCAGGCACGCTGAGGAGAGGCTTGCGGAGCCCCAATGCGGTTTCAGGAAAGGACGGTCCTGCACAGATGCCATATTTTCTGTCCGTCTGCTACAGCAGAGGTGTAGGGAATTCCAGCAAGACCTACATCTCTGCTTTATTGACCTGGTCAAGGCCTATGAGACCATCAGTAGGCCTGGGCTCTGGGTTGTTTTTCGTGCTTTTGGAGTACCTGACCCTCTGCTCATGATCATTAAGGACCTTCATGATGGTGAGCGGGCCCGGGTAAAACTACGTGGCCGGGAGTCAGAGCCATTCCCTGTACACCTTGGGGTGCGACAGGGATGTCCTCTGGCTCCCACATTATTTAACATCTATTTTGACCACCTAGTTCGTGAAGCCTTCAATAGCTGTACCGGGGGAATCTCCATTTGGTACAGATATAATGGGAGGCTGATCGATGCCCGGGTGCGGTCAAGGGATGGCTCCCTATTGCTCAACCACGTTATGTATGCCGATGCTTTGGTAATAGCTGCTCATTCAGAGGAGGAGTTGGAAATGCTGCTGCTGAGACTGGAGCGTGCCACTAAGAGATGGGGCCTTACCATCAGCCCCACTAAAACTAAGCAGCTGCCTGGGTATTTTGTACTATCGGACACTCCACCCCCACAACTCCCAATCGGTGATGGGGCAGTTGTGGAGAGAGTGGAGAGTTTCCCATACCCGGGCAGTGTGCTTATGACCAGCTCCAGTTTACCAGCAGAGGTCTCACTCCGAATCAGTCGAGCGGCAATATATTTTCATCGGTTGTGTAACGCTGTGTGGAAGCTACCTGGTGTGTCGCTCCGCACTAAGCTTCAGGTCTTCTCGGCCACGGTCATTCCCTCCCTTCTCTACGCTTGCGAAACTTGGACCCCCCTAATAGAACATCTTCACCTGTTAGAAACATTGAGGCTAGCCTGCCTACGATCCATCCTGGGTTTAACCAGGCGGGATTGTGTGAGGAGTCGACCCGTGGCACCTGGGTCTGCCCCGTGACCTCCTACCCGTGGGCGTTCAACACTTCACGTGGCCTCAAGGTGCACATGGCCTGGCACAAGCGTCGTGGTGACGTCACCACCACTTAATGGCGAATGGCGGTTGTTGTTATGTGTGTGTGTAAATGTGTGTCTGTGTCTATGTCGGTGTACGTGTGTGTGTATGCTCCTGCCTGTGGGTGCTCACTAACATAATTTGCCCCAGCAGCTTGTTAAAGGCTATGTGGAGATCTGTCTCTGTGCATCTCAGGTTATCTTAACATAATTTATACAGCGCCTTAACCGAGGCACTTGACAGAGAATTAAGAATGGCACACATGAACGTAATGGTGGCGATGAGGTGAATGAAATGGATGAGAGGAAGCAATGGGCGAATCTGTAGTGCGTGAATGAGGTAAAAGCAAAATTGATGAAAGCAAATGATGATGATTGGATTGGATGGATGGGGAATAGATGGTAGCCATGTAATGTGATTATGAAGAGGAAGTGGTTATAGTTGGAATTTAGAGGTCGTGCGGTGAGGTCGGGAAAAAAAGTGAGTTTTGAGGGAGGAGTGTAAACTAGTGAGCGAAGAGGACTGTTTATTTGCGTGCGTCCCTATGTGCGTGTGTGTGTCTCCATGTGCGTGTGTCTCTATGTGCATGCGTGTGTGTCTGTGCGTGCGTCTGTGTGCGTGTGTGCGTTTCTGCGTGCGCGTGTCTCTATGTGCGTGCGTGTGTCTCTATGTGCGTGTGTCTCTATGTGCGTGTGTCTCTATGTGCGTGTGTCTCTGTGCGTGTGTCTCTATGTGCGTGTGTCTCTATGTGCGTGTGTCTCTATGTGCGTCTGTGCGTGACTGTGTCTCTGTGCGTGCGTGTGTCTCTGTACGTGTGTCTGTGCGTGTGTCTCTATGTGCGTGTGTATACATACAGCAGTGGCACAGTGGTTGGCGCACTGTGCCACAAACTCCACCAGAGTTTGATTTCTTCTCACTGCCAGCACTCGTGATGATTACCTGAACCGGTCCTGGGCCTCCCCTAGGTCGACTCGGCCTCAAATAAGTTCGTGGTGCTGTGTGCCGTGGCGGTCTTCATAGGTGCTTGCTAAAAGCAACCAATATGTTAAGGCTATACGGGGGATCTTCGCTGTTTATTGTGTGTGTATAGACGGTGTGTGTGTGTGTGTCTTTGTGTGTCCCCTCTAGATCCTCATCGAGTTCTGCCCTGGGGGTGCTCTGGACGCCATCATGCTGGGTGAGTCACATGGGGCGGCTGTGGGGTCAGGTGTCAGGGAGCCCTGCACATGAATGCAGGTGGGGCGAGCGGACGTGTGCCTGCGTTCGATTCTCCACTTGGGTGTCCTTGTTTGCGTGCGTCTCATGTACACGATTGTGTGTGTGTGTTGTACACGATTGTGTGTGTGTGTTGTACACGATTGTGTGTGTGTTGTACTCGGGGAGCGGTAGTGTAGCGGGTAGCATGCTGCGCTATGAACCCGGCGACCCGGGTTCGATTCCCGCTCACAGCCAACACCAGTGACGATTATCTGAACCGGTCCTGGGCCTCCCCTAGGTCGACTCAGCCTCAAATGAATACCTGGTGTGGTGTGTAAACATCGCCACTGGGGAGTGTGTGGTGCTGGCCACCCACCCCCTCATGTACCGTTCCGGCCTTCATAGGTGCTCGCTAACAGCACTTGCCCCTACAGTCTGTTAAGGCTGTACGGGGGATCTTTGTTGTACTCGTATGTGTGTGCGTTGTCCACGTGTGTGTGTGTGCGTTGTACACGTGTGTGTGTGTGTTCGTTGTACACGTGCGTGTGTGCGTTGTACACGTGTGTGTGCGCGTTGTACACGTGCGTGTGTGTGCACGTTGTACACGTGTGTGTGCGCGTTGTACACGCGCGTGTGTGTGTGTGTGCGCGTTGTACACGCGCGTATGTGTGTGCGCGTTGTACACGTGCGTGTGTGTGTGCGCGTTGTACACGTGCGTGTGTGTGTGCGCGTTGTACACGTGTGTGTGTGTGCGCGTTGTACACTGCGTGTGTGTGTGTGCGCGTTGTACGTGTGTGTGTGTATGCGTTGTACACGTGTGTGTGTGTGTGTGTGCGCGTTGTACGTGTTTGTGTGTGCGCGTTGTACACCTGTGTGTGTCGTACACCTAAGTGTGTGTGTCTCGTACACGTGCGTGTGTGTTTGTGTCGTACACCTAAGTGTGTGTGTGTCGTACACGTGCGTGTGTGTGTGTGTGCGTTGTACATGTGTGTGTGTGTCGTACACGTGTGTGTTTGTGTCGTACACGTGTAGAACTGGACCGGCCCCTGCTGGAGCCACAAATCCGCGTCGTGTGCCGCTACACGCTCGAGGCGCTGTGCTACCTCCACGACAACAAAATCATCCACCGTGACCTCAAGGCCGGCAACATTCTCCTGTCGCTCGACGGCGAGGTCAAGCTCGGTGAGGACGGGCACCGGAACTGGCTCTGGGCACCGGAACCGGCAATCTCTTATTGCATACGCACACACTGGGATGTACCGCTCTGTTACTCCTACATGGCTCCCTGTGACTCTCCGTGGCTCTCCATTACTCCACACACCGCTCTTAATCTGTCACCATGGCTCCCCGTCAATTCCTCCCCCTCGTCCCCCTCCACCCCGCCCCCCTCCACCCCTCCCCCCTCCACCCCTCCCGCCCCCCCTCTCCCTCGTCCCCCTCCACCCCGCCCCCCCTCCACCCCTCCCGCCCCCCTCCCCCTCGTCCCTCTCCACCCCGCCCCCCTCCACCCCTCCCGCCCCCCTCGTCCCTCTCCACCCCGCCCCCCTCCACCCCTCCCGCCCCCCTCCCCCTCGTCTTCCTCCACCCCGCCCCCCTCCACCCCTTCTGCTCATTCTAAATTTGTCGCTCTCCCTCCCCACCAGCTGACTTTGGAGTTTCCGCAAAAAACACCAAGACCCTGCAGAGGAGAGACTCGTTCATCGGCACCCCGTACTGGTGGGGCACCACGCAACAGAACACCGCGCCACACCGCGTCACGCCGCATCGCGTCACACCACGCTACATCGCGTCACACCACGCCACACCAAGATACACCGCACCACGACACGCCAGCTACGCTCTTCATCCTGCCGTGCCCTGAAGCAGAAGCGCGGTTGCCCCCACGGCCGCGCAGTAAACCACTGTGCCGTGCGTGCGGCGGCGATGGCGGCGTGCAGGATGGCGCCGGAGGTGGTGATGTGCGAGACGTTCAAGGACTCGCCGTACGACTACAAGGCGGACGTGTGGTCGCTGGGCATCACGCTCATCGAGATGGCGCAGGTGGAGCCGCCCAACCACGAGCTCAACCCCATGCGCGTGCTGCTCAAGATCGCCAAGGGCGAGCCGCCTACCCTGCTCGCCCCGTCGCGCTGGTGAACCCGCCGCCGCCACCACATGTACACTGTACGCACACCTGCTACGTGCCGTTCGAGTGCGTCGAGCGGCGTGCCGCTACGGTCCACTTCCCGTGCATTCGGTGGTCAGTTGCCGTGGGTGTCTTCTCCTCCGCTCGCCCACCCCGCCCCACCCCCCAGGTCCCCGCAGTTCAGCGACTTCCTGCATAAGGCACTGGACAAGAACCCTGAGACGCGCTGGTCTGCCCCACAGCTGCTACAGGTCCGTGCAGTAGGAGGGACACAGACATCCCGCAGGCACCCCGCAGACATCCCGCAGGCACCCCGCAGACATCCCGCAGGCACCAAACAGGCACCCCGCAGGCACCCTGCAGACACCACACAGACACCACACAGGCACCACACAGACACCCCATAGGCACCACACTGGCACCACACCGGCACCACACAGGCACCCCACAGGGACCACACAGGGACCACACAGACACCACACCGGCACCACACAGACACCACACCGGCACCACACAGAGCCTTCCTGAACCAGAGGTGAGGCTTCCGTGGGTGAACGAGCGTGCCGCCCCCCTACCCACGCCCAGCACGCCTTCGTGAGTGACGCGGCCGCGGTGAAGCCGCTGCGTGAGCTCATCGCCGAGGCCAAGGCGGAGGTGATGGAGGAGGAGGTGATGGATGAGCGCTCCGAGGAGGACGACGAGGAGAGCGAGGGCACGCCCGTGAGTTTGCTCGCCCGCTCGCCCGCGTGTATACTTTCACACGTATACACGCAGACTCGCACAAGTACTCACGGGCGCCCTTGCACACGCACACACGCGCGATGCCGTTCAGCTGCTCTGTGGGGCCAGTCGTGGTCGCGGTCCACCTCACGCGCGTGTGTACGCGTGTGTACGCGTGTGTGCGCGTGTGTGCGCGTGTGCGTACGTGTGCAAAGCAGTCGATACCTGGACACAAGCGCGCAGCCTCTGACATCAGCGTGTCCAGCCTGGAGGACGAGAAGCCACTCCCGACGCCCGCCGTGACCCCCGCCGTGACCCCCGCCGTGACCCCCGCCGTGACCCCCGCCGTGACCCCCGCCGTGACCCCCGCCGTGACCCCCGCCGTTACCCCCGCCGTGACCCCCGCCGTGACCCCCGCCGTGACCCCGGCCGCCACCCCTGTAGTCGTGCCCGAACACATAGCGGAACCGGCTGAGACTCGTGAAATCGTTGCCAAGATGCCCTCCGACAACAGCAAACCAGAGGACGGCGTTGCCACGGTGACCGGGTTGGCCAGCATCGTCGCTGCAGAAACGGAGGAGCGGTCCGGCGAGGGCGGCGACGAAGTGGCGGTGGCAGCGGAGTCTGGCGAGGAGGTGGCGCTGAAGGGAGCAATGCCCTCGTCGCAGTCCGTCGAGGTGACGATCGCGATGCTGAACGAGGTGATCGACTCGATCGAGTTTGAGGAGGCAGAGGAGGAGAGCGACGAGGAGACGGACCCCGCATCCCGGGACAAGATGGCATCGGCCGCAGGTGGCTCTTCGGACGGCGTCGCAGCCGCGGAAGCCGCGGTGGCCGCCGCCGCCGTAACCGAACCGAGCGCCGATGGCGCGGTGAGCGTGGGCGGCGAGGAGGAGGCGGTGCCGGCGGGGGCGGCGGTGGCGGGAGTCGCGCTCCCGCCTCTGCCCCGGACGCCGTCCGTGCAGGAAGTTCCAGAGCCGCCCCCGGAATTCCGGGACGTGCCGCCGAGCGGGGAGGAGGGCGGCCGCGACACCCCCCCGCCGCCACTCGAGTTCAGAGACGACAGCACGGAGGAGGCGTCGGCGGTTACCGGAGAGACGGGCCAGGCCGAGACGGAGGCCCCGGCGGCGCCGGCGGCGCCGGCGCCGCCGGCGGGCACCGAGGCCGAGGAGGAGCGGGAGAAACCGGGGACGGGGGTGGAAGAACCGCACGAGCTAGCGGAGCCAGTCCCCGCCTCCCGCAAGGAGGAACGGAGGAGCGACGAGGAGGAGGAGGAGTCGGCGGGGGGGAGGGGAACCCCGGATCCGGCGGCGCCGGAGCCCGTGCGGAACGGGCGCGCGGGCGACACGGACAGCTCGGGCGCCTCCATGTCGGATACGGGCAGCGTGGACATCAGCCTGTCCATGTACAGCGCGTTGGCACGCAGCAAGGAGGCGGGCGGCGGGGGGTCCCTCTCGTTGCAGGTGGCACCCCACGCAGCACACCACGCAGCACACCACGCAGCACACCACGGGAGGGGGGGCTGTTTATCAACGTCCATGTCATCATCATCATCATCGGCGTGGTCATTCTTGTGGTTCAGACTTATCTACAATTGGACACTGCATATATGCTTGTATATTGTACACCGACTGTAAATCAAGAGAGTGTGTGGGTGTGCCGCATGTGATCCATGCGGGAGGCCTCCTGCTGCTTCGTGTTTAAAGTTCGTGCGGCTCACACAGTTGGCGGCGTCTGCCCCCCCCCTCCCCGACCCCCCCTTGCCACCCCCCCCCCTCTGTCCGCCCCCCACCACCGCGCACCAGGATATGCGTCGGGAAAAGAAGACTCTGAAGCGTACGCGGCGCTTCATGGTGGACGGCGTGGAGGTGAGCGTCACCACGAGCAAGATCATCAACGACGACCACCGCAAGGACGAGGAGATGCGCTTCCTCCGGTGAGCACGGCGGGGGGGGTGGGTGAGTTGGGCGGGCGAGTGGGTAGACGAGTGAGCGGGCAGGTTGCAGTGGGTAGGGGAGTGACGGAGTGGGCGAGTGAGTGGGTTGGAGAGTAGCGAGCGGACGAGCGGGCGGGCGAGCGAGCGGACGAGCGGGCGAGCGAGTTCCCCGTGTCGCCCGTGCGTGCAGGCGGCAGGAGCTGCGCGAGCTGCGGCTGCTGCAGAAGGAGGAGCAGAGGGCGCAGCAGGAGCTCAACAGCAAACTGACGCAGCAGAGCGAGCTGATGCTGCGTCGCTCCGAGCAGGAGGCCAACGTACCGCACTCGCCACGCACTCGCCACGCTCTCGCCACACTAACCACGCACTTATCATGCTCTCACCGCTCACTCGCCACACACTTCTGACTCGCCACTCTCTCACCGCATCACACTCACTGCATCAAACGCACCGCATACGCCGCATCACGCTCGCCAAACACTCAACACTTACAGCCTCGGAGGACCACGGCACACTCCGCACCACAAACCGCACTATCGAGTTGACGTTCGTCGTGCTCTTGAGCACCAACACGGCACACGTGGCACCGTGCACCGTGCACCGTGCACCGTGCACCGTGCATCGTGCACCGCGTGGTGCTGCCACGCGCGACCCAAACAAGCTTCGACTTGAAATCGAGCGATCACCGTTTCCACCGCCGTTACTTACCTGCCCCCTCCCTTAACCCCCCCCCCCCCGCCCCCCCCTGCCGCCCCCTCCCCCAGTCGCGCAAGAAGCAGTACGAGACGGAGATCGAGACGCTGGAGCGGCAGCAGAAGCAGTCGATCGAGCGGCTGGAGGCGGACCACACGGCGCGGCTGCGCGACGAGGCGCGGCGAATCAAGGGCGAGCAGGAGCGCGAGCTGGCCAAATACCACGACGTGCTCAAGCACCGCCGCAAGGAGGTGCGCCCACGAGGGGAGAGGAGGGCGGGAGGATGGCGAGCGGGCGGTGCGGGGGCCACTCCGCCCGCCCGCCCGCGTTCTCGCGCGCTCGCCGGTTGACGTCGCAGCCTTGTTAATGAACGCGCCGGTCTGCTCGTCAGAGCGACTCGGGCTCATTGGTGAACGTCGACCGTGAACGCGGTTCCACGAGCGTTCGTCCGGTCGCTCGCTCGATCGTTGATTCGGTTTGTTCAGCCACGGTCACCGATTGGCGGCGACCTCGGTCCACGGACGCACGCACGCACGCACGCGTTCTTGCGAGCGTGCGCACGTTGACAAGCTCGTTTTCATGCCCAAGCGCGCGTGCCCACGCTCATTCATGATTGCATTCGATTACACGCACGCACAAACGCACGCACGCACGCAAGCGCTTGTGCCCAGTCCGGTGCGACTCCACCACGGTTGTTGTCGACGCTTTGCGGGCCTCGCTTGGAGCGGTTGTCGTCGTTGCCGTACGGTTGCGGTCGCTGGGTCTCCGTGCCGATGCCGCTGCCGCGATCGCTACCCGCGGTGACGTCTCGCGATCGGGTTCAGGTGCTCTCCGCTGTCTCCGCTCTCTCCGCTGTCTCGCGCGCTCTCCCTACGCTTCTCACGGGACGCGGTTTCTGTCGCTGGGCGACCTCTGGGTGACTTCTGGGTGACTTCTGGGCGTAGCATTCCCTCCCAACGTCCGCTTGGGTGGTGTCGGTCTCCCCCTCCCCTCCCCCGAAGCTGTTATTGCAGTCGAGGGCTTGACTCTGATTGGTCGAATTGTATGGACAATTGGTTCAGGTCGTTGGGCCGACCCAGTGATCCCAGGGGTAATTGGTTGCATTTCTATGCCTCGTGGGTACTGGCGCTGTGTTCATCAGTGGCTCCCAGGTGGTTTGATGGCGGTGGGCGCCAGGCCGATTGTCGTGCACCAGCTGCCGGCGCTGTCTATCCCGTCCGACTAACCCCAGCCTCCACGGTGGCACTGCCGCCCTGCGTGCCGTCTCCCTGCGCCTCTCCAGCACAGCCAGCCTCCTCGTAACAGACTTCCGAGTTCGCTTCCCACTGCACCACCTCCCAACCTCCCTGCACGCTCCTGAACCCCTGCACGCTCCTGCACGCTCCTGAACCCCTGCACGCTCCTGCACGCTCCTGCACGCTCCTGCACGCTCCTGCACGCTCCTGAACCCCTGCACGCTCCTGAACCCCTGCATGCTCCTGAACCCCTGCACGCTCCTGCACGCTCCTGAACCCCTGCACGCTCCTGCACGCTCCTGCACGCTCCTGCACGTTACTGCAGCCTGCACGCCATTGCCTGGCAGTGTCGCTGCATGCGCCCGCTCGGCTTGTAACGATCCAGTCAATTCCCCCGATTCAGGGGTCGCCATTCCATTGAGGAGTCGACCGTCCTGTTGGCTTTCCTGCGACCCTGCAGTGCGCGCCGTTTTCAAGACGCCCGATTGTCACGCGACGCAGGGTCCGTGGATCGTTACTCGCCCGTCCCGGCCTCTCACTGTGGCGTGTCTTGCAAATCCTTGGTAACCCTCGTATATGTAGAGAGAGGGAGATGTACGTTGGGACACTTGGATTCTGTCGTGTCCCCACAAACAATGAGTCGATCGTATCGCCTCTTCCGTCCACTTAACTGTAGTCCGAGTGCCGGTGTTCCCTACGCTGCACGCGACCTGTAAATCCAGCCCTGTTGTGGAGGCAGCAGCGGGGGTTGGTGGATCGCACGAACGTTGTAACGCTACATTCCTGTGGGTGCATGCCGAGGAGGAGCCGTACCCTGGCTCGCCAGGGGAAGGCGGCGGGACGGCAAAATGTGGACCTCGCCCGTTCCACCTGTATGGGATCGAGTATCGCCCCCCTGCACGCGGAGGTTTCATCCAGCCGCTCTGCTCGCCTCCCACACGTGCTGAGGCTCATTAATTGGCTGACGACAGCTTCATACATGGAGGGGGCCGCTGAGCTTGGCCGGCTATCGGCAGCGCCAGCGCGCGGCGCGGCTGCTGCCGCCCTCCCGCTCGTGTGTGGCTCCTCTGCGATTGCACCAACGAGGCCGCCGTTGTGTATAACGATAACACGTCACTTACTATTATTATTCTTAAACAAAGCCCTACTCTGCTGGACAATGAGCTTTTAGCTTTCGTGGGTTACCAGGTTTGTCCAGGACACCTCCTCGGCCGCTCGCTCTGCGCAAGGCAACGGCGCGAGCTCCCGTGCTGCCACACTTCCTCCCCTGTGCCGCCCGGCCTCGCTCACCCCGCCGCTGTGTGTGCCGTCCAGCCGTGGAGCGAGCCTGACCCTGCATGTTGTGTGCGCCATCCAGCTGTGGAGCGAGCCTGACCCTGCATGTTGTGTGTGCCGTCCAGCCGTGGAGCGAGCCTGACCCTGAATGTTGTGTGTGCCGTCCAGCCGTGGAGCGAGCCTGACCCTGAATGTTGTGTGCGCCATCCAGCCGTGGAGCGAGCCTGACCCTGCATGTTGTGTGCGCCGTCCAGCCGTGAAGCGAGCCTGACCCCGCATGCTGCCACATACACGCTTAACCAGCTGTAGAGTGAGTGACCCTGCACGCTGTAGGATTCTATCCAGCCGCGGAGCGAGCCTGACCCCGCATGGGAACCCTGACCCAGCGTGCGCCCCTCCTGCATGCCGTAGGTGTTGAGTGAAGTGGACAAACTCCCCAAAGAGCAGAGGAAAGACCACGCAAAACGCACCCGGGAGGATCTCGCGCTCAGGCAAAAGTCCGAGGTAACCGCCGCTGCCGCTCAAGACCCCCGACCATGGTTGCGGGGGGGCACCGGGGGGGCGCCGTGGCAACCGTTGCGAGGAAAAGGAGGGAAGCGCCGTGGGGGGGGGGGGTGGGGGGCGGCACCGGTGGGGGGGGGGGGGGGGGGGGGCCCTCGTTCGCGGCCGTGGCGTCTCGTCTTTTCCACTGCGTCGTCGGATTCGTGCCGCGCCTTCCGTCGGACTTGACGAGGATGGCGCGCTCGCCGCGGGCTGTGTGTCTGTGTGTGTGTCTGTGTGTGTGTGTCTATATGTGTGTGTCTGTATGTGTGTGTCTGTATGTGTGTGTGTGTCTGTGTGTGTGTCTGTGTGTCTGTGTGTGTGTCTGTGTGTCTGTATGTGTGTGTCTGTATGTGTGTGTCTGTGTGTGTGTGTCTGTGTGTGTGTGTGTCTGTGTGTGTGTGCAGACGATTGTGTGTGTGTGTGTGTGCAGACGATTGTGTGTGTGTGTGTGCAGACGATTGTGTGTGTGTGTGTGCAGACGATTGTGTGTGTGCAGACGATTGTGTGCGGACGATTGTGTGTGTGTGCGCGTAACCGATAGTTGATCCGTAGCACCTGGGTCTGTCCCGTGACCCCTTGCCAGCGAGAGCCTTTCGACACTTCACGTAGCCTCAAAGTGCACCTAGCCTGGCACAAGCACGACGGTGATGTCGCCGCCACTTAGTGGCGAATGGCGGCTGATGTTGTCGTCGTACGACGGTGCGGACGTGTGTGGTGGTGTGCCGCGTGTTGGACTGCGAGCGTGATCACCGTAGGTTTACGCGTGTCGTCGTGCGAAGCGGGGGGGACGTATTCGTACGTGACACGCGGGTCATCCGCCGGTGCGCGTTCTTGCGGTGCTGCGTACTGGTGCGCGTGTGCATGCGGTCGTTCCGGCGGCGTGCGTTGGTGTGCTCACACCTCCCCCCCATCCCACACGGCCCCCCCCTCCCTCACGCTGTCAGCTGTCTCTGGCTCCACAGGGTCTGGCACAGATCCCTGTGCACAGCTTTCAGCTCTCCTCCCTCTCCCTGTGCAACGCCAAACTGCCCAGCGTAAGTGCGGGTCGCCCTCCGCTCCCTGCCACTTCCCCCGCTTCCCGTCCCCATCAGTGGCGTCTTGAGGAAGGTGCGGGGTTGGGGTGGTGGGGGGCGACTCGCACAAGGAGGGGGGGGAGGGCAAAACCATGACAGGCCACCAGAGCGCCGACCCCCCTCGGAGATGATAAATCGCTGCCCGACAGATCACGTGACAAGAACCGGCTGTCTTGATTGGTCGTCGTAAGAACGATGCTGTAGGTTCCTGGCTGTAGTTGGGTTCCCTGGATGGAGAGAGGCTGGGGACCAGGGAGTGCCACACCGGGGCCCAGGGAGGGACGGACTGGAGCTACGGGCCCCTCGGCACCGCCACGGCGCCACTGATGGTGCCCGCGCTAACCCCATGCGCTTGAGTGCCGTGAGGTTGCAGTGATTAACCGCGTTTAACCGCGATTTACAGTGTGCAGTGGCTGCATTAACGAGATTCCCCCAACCCCGGCGTTGCTGCTCCCCGCCCTCCTTCATTTGTCGAGTTTAAATTGAAGAAATGGGGGCCATGTGCCACCATCTCGCCCATCATCGCCGTCGTCGCTTCTGCTGTCCAGGTCCCTATCTCTGCCCCCACCCCCCCCCCCCCAGCTGTAAATGTAACACTCCCAGGGAAACACAGATGAGTATTGACATGGAGTGGTCCATTGTGCGCGGAGGAGGATTGGTGGGGGAGGAGGCCAGACTCGGATCTCCAGTAAAAGTCTTTGGCCGCCAGAACTGCACCGGGTTTTTGCCGCTATGCGGGACGCCGCGTGGGCCCTGCGTGCGCTCACGCGCTCACGGGAACGGCCTGGCGCTAACGTTCACGTGCGCGTGTTTGTGAAGATGTGTTTGTGTGTGCATGTTGGTCGAAATATGTGCGTACAAGGCACGTGCTGCACGTGAAAATGTGCCTGCTCTGTGTGTGTGTGTGCCCATACCTGCGTGCGCGTGTGACCGCGCGCTGTGGTGTGTGCATGTGTGGCCATGCGTGCTTCTTCGCACCTGCGCCCGTGCGTGCGTCCCCGTGCCCCACCCCCCACCCCTCCGTGGGTCCCCGTGTGCCCATGGCACAGGAGACGGAGTTCATCACGAAGCAGCAGCAGGATCTGGACACAGCGCTCAAGAAGATCATCATGGAGCACAAGGTGGAGGTGGCGGAGACGGAGAAGACCTGCCTGCACAACAAGCAGCAGCTGCTGCGAGGTGACGACGTGACGCTCCCCCCTCGCCCCCCCTCACCCCCCATGCACGTGGAAACGGCACCGGCACGAAGGGGAGAGGTGGTTCCCTGTCGCGTACCGGTGGTTGCGTAGGCCTTCGGGATCTGCGGTATCCGCTTCTGCGGGCCGTTCCCTAGCAAGACGATGTTGCTGGGATTCCTCATCTCGCTTTTATCCGACACCAAAGCAGTTGTGTTAAGTTGTTAAAACACCAAACTGAAACCTTTTACAAGTAATCATGTTTGCATTCACCACAATACTTGTGGACAAAATGCAAAAAAAAACTGATAGTTAATGCATTGTCTTTGAAACTGATGGGTCCACACCAGAGACAGCTTAGACCAGAGGACGCCAAAAGGCGTCCAGCACAAAGACAATGCACTAATGAGAGCTCGGGGTGAGCATCTACCTCATATTTTGTTACTGGCAAAGGAGGTCCCAATGACAACGGTGTTTGTTGAAAATTGGCGTGGGATGAAACGTGATTGGTCTTCAGAGCACACGACATTTGGTAAGTCATGTGACCTCTTATCTGCGTTATGATTGGATGTTGTCATCTCGGTTGCACAATAGAGGATTTTGGCAAATGGCATGAGCAGATCTGCCTCAAATTACTGGCACCGGGCACAAGTTTGTGGTGTGTCTTACAATGCGGAGAATATGGTGAAGTGTTTTAAAGCGGCCCACAGTACGCCAACCGTTGCCAACAACGATTGCCATGAAATCTCCATGGTCACTCGCAACCCCGAGTCTCGCTCGGCGGTCGTGTTCACCGTCCCCCGGTCCCCTCTACCCCCCCTCCCCCGCCCACTCAGCGAGGGAGGCCGGCATGTGGGAGCTGGAGGAGCGGCAGATGCAGGAGCGCCACCAGCTCATGAAGCAGCAGCTCAAGGAGCAGTTCTTCCTGCAGCGGCACCAGCTGCTCAAACGCCACGACAAGGTGCGTGGAGAGGCGGTGGGGTGGGGGGGGGGGTCTGGGGTCAAGGGTCACGTCTCCACGCCTAGAACAAGGCGTGGGAGAACCCCCCCCCGACTCGCGCTCCGCATGCGAGCCGGGACTCGGTGTGGTGCCGCACCGCGGCCTCCTGGGACCCACCGCGAAAACGCTCGCCTGGCACCGCGAGCGGACTGGCCGCGCCGATTGGGTACCAGTTGGAGGGGGCCGGGGAGGGGACGAACCTTTTTGGCTCGGCAACAACACCGTGTTCATCGACGCGGCTCGCGCCAGGTCGCCGCCATCACCGCACGATGACGGCGGGCAGGAGGCGGCCGAGGCTGCGCGCGAGTTGACGAGCGGTCGCCCGCCAGACGAGTGCGAGGGCGCTTGGTAGCGAGAAGCCGTCCCACCGCTGGCCTGCATCCACACGGGCCGCGGCGACTTCGCCGGCGCCGCGGCCGCGCCCTCGTTCCACGTCCGGCCGGGGCTGCCCTCGGGCCGCTGCCCGGCCGGGGCGAGGTCACCGTCGCCTTCGACCCCCGTGCCGGCGGGGGGGCGACGACGCTGTCGGCGGTAACGTCGCGACGACGCTGTCGGTGGGCGCGTGCAGGAACAGGAGCAGATGACACGCTACAACCAGCGCCTGCTGGAGGAGATGAAGGCGCGCCAGGCGCAGGAGCGCGTGCGCCTGCCCAAGAACCAGCGCAGCGAGGCCAAGACGCGCATGGCCATGTTCAAGCAGAGCCTGCAGATCAACCCATCCAGCAGCGGAGAAGGCAATCGCGACCGCATCAAACAGGTCCGCCTCGCCCCTTGTGAGCGCGGTGGTGGTGAGGTGTGAGGGGCGGTGGTGGTGAGGTGTGAGGGGCGGTGGTGGTGAGGGTCGGTGGTGGTGAGGTGTGAGGGGCGGTGGTGGTGAGGTGTGAGGGGCGGTGGTGGTGAGGTGTGAGGGGCGGTGGTGGTGAGGTGTGAGGGGCGGTGGTGGTGAGGTGTGAGGGGCGGTGGTGGTGAGGGTCGGTGATGGTGAGGTGTGGGGGGCGGTGGTGGTGAGGTGTGAGGGGCGGTGGCGGTGAGGTGTGGGGGGCGGTGGTGGTGAGGTGTGAGGGGCGGTGAGGTGTGAGCGTGGCGGTGAACCAGGCCCCCCCCCGCCCCCTTTGCCCCCCACCCCATATCCGGCCCCCCACAGTTTGCACAGCAGGAGGACAAGCGGCAGAAGGCGGAGCGGCAGCAGCAGCAACAGAAGCACGACAACCAGATGCGCGACCTCGGCATGCAGTGCGAGGCTAACATGCGCGAGCTGCAGCAGATGCAGGTGATGCCAGCAGGGCGGGCGGACGCTCCCTCGGTGCCCCCCCCCCAAAACCTCTATCTCTCCCGTCTCCCCCTGATCCCCCGCTTACCCCCCGATCCTTCTGATTCCTCTGATCTCCCCCCCCCCCCCCGATCTCTCCGATCCGGCCGCTAACGGCGCTCGCCTCGAAAGTCTGTCTCAGGCTCCACGGGGGGGGGGTGGGGTGTAGTGTGGTGATCTCTGTCCGTGTCTGTGTAGAATGAGAAGTGCCACCTGCTGGTGGAGCGGGAGACGCAGAAGCTCAAGGAGCTGGACGAGCAGCACGGCGGGGAGATGCGCGAGTGGAGGGACAAGCTGAAGCCTCGCAAGCAGGTGTGTGTACACCACAAGCGGGTGTGTGTACACCACAAGCGGGTGTGTGTACGCCGCAAGTGGGTGTGTGTACACCACAAGCGGGTGTGTGTACGCCGCAAGTGGGTGTGTGTGCACCGCAAGCGGGTGTGTGTGCACCGCAAGCGGGTGTGTGTACACCACAAGCGGGTGTGTGTACGCCGCAAGTGGGTGTGTGTGCACCACAAGCGGGTGTGTGTGCACCGCAAGCGGGTGTGTGTGCGTCCCAAGCGGGTGTGTGTGCACCACAAGCGGGTGTGTGTGCACCACAAGCGGGTGTGTGTGTGCGTCCCAAGCGGGTGTGTGTACACCACAAGCGGGTGTGTGTGCACCGCAAGCGGGTGTGTGTGCACCACAAGCGGGTGTGTGTGCACCACAAGCGGGTGTGTGTGCACCACAAGCGGGTGTGTGTGCGCCGCAAGCGGGTGTGTGTGCACCGCAAGCGGGTGTGTGTGCACCGCAAGCGGGTGTGTGTGCACCGCAAGCGGGTGTGTGTGCACCGCAAGCGGGTGTGTGTACACCACAAGCGGGTGTGTGTACGCCACAAGCGGGTGTGTGTGCACCGCAAGCGGGTGTGTGTCGCAAGCGGGTGTGTGCGTCCCAAGTGGGTGTGTGTACGGCGCCGTGGTGCCAGCGCGCGGCGAGGTTGATGCATGGTATTTGGCTTGCTGGTGTGATGGTGCGGTGTTGTTGTCAGTAGGGTATGTTGTGATGTACCGGTGTGGTTGTGCGGTGTATCACTGGGTATATTGTGACACCGGTGCGATGGTGTTACGGCGTGGCAGGTGCTGGAGGAGGAGTTTGCGCGCCGGCGCCAGGAGCAGGAGATGTTCTTCAAGATGAGCAGCGACTCGGAGTGCGTCAACCCCGGCACCACCAATCGCGTGTCGCGCTTCTACCCGGTGCCCAGTATGGGCGCCAGCGGCGTGTGAAGGGAGCGACGCGATTGCTCTCTCTCTCTCGCTCTCTCTCGCTCTCTCTCGCTCTCTCTCTCTCGCTCTCTCTTGCTCTCTCGCTCTCGCTCTCTCTCTCTCGCTCTCTCGCTCTCGCTCGCTCTCGCTCTCTCTCGCTCTCTCTCTCTCGCTCTCTCGCTCTTTCTCTCTCGCTCTCTCTCTCGCTCTTTCTCTCTCGTTCTCTCTCTCGCTCTCTCTCTCGCTCTCTCTCTCTCGCTCTCACTCTCTCTCGTTCTCTCTCTCTCGCTCTCTCTCTCTCGCACACTCGCGCAGGCACGTACCGGCACGTATATTTATACACGCACGTACAGATGTACACACCCATTCACAGCCTGGCGAGCTGCTCTCATACAGGCAGGCACATGCATACATACACACGCAAGTAGGCATACACGTACTGTACACATGTTCACAGGCATACGCACACACAAACTAATCGCTTGCGCACCTCCACTCACACATGCAAAAACAACTGCCAGTGACGTCACTATAGCGCCTGTGTCCGGCTAGGTGCACTTTGAGGCTACACACAGACTGAAACACACCTCCACTCACTCACCCAACTTGCATACTAAAACCGCTCCACACACACGAACCTTCCATTTATACACGAATACAAAGATCCCCCCTATAGCCTTGACAGACTGTTGGGGCAAGTGCTGTTAGCGAGCACCTATGAAGGCCGGAACGCCACACGAGAGGGTGGGTGGCCAGGACCACGCCCAGCCGCCTTTGTCTCCCTAGTACCCGCATACACCCCCCTCCAACAACAACAACTGCCGTTCGCCACCAAGTGGCGGTGACGTCACCACGGCGCTTGTGCCAGGCTATGTGCACGCCGAGGCTCCCTCCACTCACACTCCCACACGCACACACTCGTACACACACCCCTCCACTTACACACCCACACGCACACACTCGTACACACACCCCTCCACTTACACACCCACACGCACACTCGTACACAAACCCTTCCACACCCACACACTCGTACACACACCCCTCCACTTACACACCCACACGCACACACTTGTACACAGACCCCTCCACACCCACACACTCGTACACACACCCCTCCACTCACACACCCATACGCACACACTCGTACACACACCCCTCCACTTACACACCCACGCACACACTCGTGGACACACCCCTCCACTTACACACCCACGCACACACTCGTGCACACACCCCTCCACTCACACACCCACACGCACACACTCGTACACACACCTCTCCACACCCACACGCGCACACTCGTACACACACCCCTCTACTCACACTCCCACACACACACACTCGTACACACACCCCTTCACTCACACACCCACACGCACACACTCATACACACACCCCTCCACTTACACACCCACACGCACACACTCGTACACACACCCCTCCACTCACTCGTACTCACGCATGCATCCCGCTCGCCCTCGACTCGCAGCCACTTGCATACAAGGCCCTCCGCTCGCCCGTTCCACACTCACCCACTCCACACTCACACACTCCACACTCGCACACTCCACACTCACCCATTCACCCACTCCACACTCACCCACTCCACACTCACACACTCGCACACTCGCCCGCTCCGCGTTCCACACTCACCCACTCACCCACTCCACACTCACCCACTCCACACTCACCCACTCCACACTCACCCATTCACCCACTCCACACTCGCCCGCTCCGCGTTCCGCACTCGCCCACCCCTTCCAGAGTTCCTTGCCACTGCCATCGCCACGGGGGGGGGGGCAAGACGCGACCGCACTGATGCACAGCTCGTGTGCCCCCCTCTACGCGCAGGTGGGGGCCCTCCGCTCTCTCTCTGCCCGTGGCGCGGAGACCCCCCACCCCCAAGGTCGACATGCAGTCCCCCGTGCGACGTTCTTGGCGCACGGTTTGCGCGGCGCCGTTTGTTGAAATTACCGACGGGGCCACTGGGCTGGGTCACCTCCACCACGCACCGGGAAGCCGGCTCGGTGACCCCGGCTCGGTGACCCCGGCCCGGGACCCCGACCCCGCTCGTGTTTGCCGCCCGCCCGCCCGCACACGTGGGTGGCGGTGTCCGTGAGATCTTAAACTAAAGCGGGGCGCGTGTGTTGCTGCGGCGCCCTCCTTCGTCTTTTTTAAAATGTTCGGATCGCTGCGTCCTGGCATGGAGCACGGTGCTTGATTTATTACTTTATTATTATTGATTGTTGTTATTGTTGTTAACAATGGTAGTACTTAACATCCGCAGCAGGAGCAGCGGCTACGTCAGTGTAGACGCCAACTCCTAGAGCCGACACGGCGTGTGCGGGTTAGAAGAGCGGGCGGCAGGAGTCCTGTTGGGGGTTTGTAGGGGGGGCGCGGGGGGGTGAGTTTGTCCCGAAAATGGCTCGGCCTGTTGCACCAGGTGAGCCCCCCACACCCCCCAGCCCTCCCCACCCCCGTCCTGACATTGAGCCCCCCCCCACGCAGCAGTGCGATGAGAGGCTGTGGACATCGGCACGGAAGATGAAACATCAACGCATGCACCCGTGCCCTGGTGGGGCTCTGGCCATGGGCGGGCTCAGCGGGAGAGGGGGGTGAGCGCGAGTGCCTCGGGTGGCTGGTTGGTGAGAGGCAGCTGCCCGTCTCGTGCTTGATTTTTGGTTGTGAGCGGCCCGACGATGGCGGGAACCAATTCTCACTGCTGGTTGGGTAGTGGGCTCGGTGCAGGTTCATTGTCACTTGCAGGGATGGTTGTCTACTATGATTAGGGATTGGGGTTCGCCTCTGGTTGTTAATTGCTTAGGGACGGCCCCGTGCTCGTGGCTAGCGGGCCGAGTCAGCTGTGCCCCCGGGCCGCCTGCCCCGCCTCCCCGTCCGCGACTTTCGTCTCCCCTCGTGTCCGGAGCCGATGGCGCCGCGGCTCTCCGCATCGGCGATGGCGCCTGGGGCCCTCCTCGCGTTCACCCCGCGAGCGACCGCACGAGCGCCCGCACGAGCGCCGGAGGAGGAGTCGCACCGCGCGGCGACTCCGTCTCCGAGCGACAAAAGTCGCACGGAAGAGAAGTCGCGCGGCCGGAAGATGCCGCGCGCCGATTGCCTCTCGACTCTTGCCGCGCCGTCGCCGCTGCGTGCACGGAGCGGGCCACGGTTTCTCTCCCTTTGTCGCGCTGTCCGTGAACTCGACGATGGAAATAAAAGTCGGCTGTTTGTAAACTCGCGGCCTCCCCGACTGCGTCTCTCGCTGTTGCCGAAGGGGCAGGGTTCTTGGGGGGCGTCCGTGCCAGGAGCAAGACGCCACGAGGGTGGCCAAAGCCCCGATGATGCCACCCGCACCTCACCTCCACCAACGGCGCTTAGCCAACAAAAAGAGATGGGGTTTAGTCCAGTGGGGTTTAGTCCAGTGTTGTTCACTCGTTTTCAGAGAGGGGGGCGGAGAGCACTTTCGCCGATAAGACATCGTCAATGTGAGGGCCGCCACACTCTTGAAACCATTGTGGGTTTGACGGTGATGATGGGGGGGGGGGGGGGGGGGGCGGTGTTGCCTTGCAATGAAGAACGCCGATTTCGACGACAGTGTTTGGGTTAAGGGGTCGAGTTGGTGTTAGTGGGTCGTGTTACAATTAGGGGTTAGGGCGGAGTTGTACAAACTCCAGTCCTAGTGACGCTCCACCACGCCACGTCTCTCTACGTTTGCCATTTTACTCCCCATATTCAAACACAAATTAACTCACTCCACGCTGCACGCGCCCGATGATTGTTAAACACGTGACGTGCTGTTGACTCAGATTGGGATCGGTGTGCACGTGTTCTAACGCCACTGCGTTACTTGCTTAGATCGCCAAGTGGGACGTGTTTAACAATCATCGGGTGCGTGCAGGGTGGAACGAGTTGATTTGTGTTTGAATATGGTGAGTAAAATGGTCAAGGTGGATATACGTGTAGTAGATGCAACTGAGTCACAGACGTACTCTTTGGAGGCAACACATTTATTATTAATAACAACACACGGGGTAACTGCCCCTTAGAATAGCGGCCTATGGTGGTGAACACCAGGCTAACTACACTAATTACAACGTAACGAGCTACAACGGACCGGACCACAGCTTGGGTCCAGGTCCACGTGTTGGAGACTCTGTAGGACGTAGACGAAAGCTTCTTGAGGATGAACAACAGCGCCGGGCCCTCTGGGGGACCCGGCTTAGAGCCTCTGCGGCGTGGCCGGCTCCGCTCTTGGCCACGCCCATCTTCCAGAACCCTCGAGCAGGATCTGGACCCCGACCACGTGACCACCCCGAGCCCCCCACTTGGGGCCCCTGTGTAGACTTAACCGGTCACGTGTCCTAAGGGATCAACCAGAGTACCACGGCCCTTAGTAACCCCATGTCCTGTGGCCGAGTCTCTCTCACCCTATCCTGTAGGGGTCGGCACTGCACGCAGAGCGTGGTGCCACCCAGCGCTGTCAGTCAGGGCTCACCGAGCCCCTCCAGGGCCGGTGCTGCACCCACGTCCACGTGGTGCCCGCGATGTCGCTACACCGCACGCCGTGCCCCTCCAGGGCCGGCATGACACAGTGACTAGCGCGATGTCTCTACACACGTCGCGTGATGATGATGATGAGGGGGTGTGGGCATCCCTGGCTTGGAGGCTCGGGGTTAGACCGCAGAGTTCAGGGTAGCGAGCGAGGCGCTGTTCTCTCTCCTGGACGGTCGGTGGGGGGGGGGGCTTGGGGGGGGGGACGCGATCCTTACAACCTGCAGCTCCTCTTCTTATCCCTCCCCCCACTCCTTCCCATTGCTCCATCACATCGGGACGTGGAGATGGGGGTCGCAAGTGGGGGATCGTGATGATTATGAATGCCCCTTGCGGGGCAGGGGCCGCTGAGTTTGTGAACGGCTATTGTCGTCTTGTGTTTTAAGTGTAACCCTGAACCCCGGAAAGGATCCCCCACCCACCCCCTTTGCCTGGGGCTCCTTGTTAATGTCATCCGTGACCGCGGCCCGCGTCATGTGATCGCATCAGCGATGGTCGCACGGGGTACGAGAGCTGCCCCCCCCCCTCCCTCCAACCCGAGGGGTCGTCGTGCCCTTGCGCTGC